TTTGAAAATGAACAAATAGCATATATAGTTGTTGGATCAGGAGAATTAAGAATGTTTAATAAGCGCCAAGATGTTGTTTGATTTAAAGAATAAAAAACGAGGAATTCGAATATTTCTTCAAAGATTACAAAAAAATTGAAGATAAATTAACACTTTTCCAAACATTCTTCATTCTTTCGTTCTTTGCAAAACCTCACAGATACGGTGTCTATAGAAGTTTGAACTGAGTCAAGTCATTTTCTTTCACAATCACTTCACCGATCACTTATAAATACTTCAAATTTATATGAAGTTCATGAGAGAGTATTGAAGTATTTGCCATATAAGAAAGTTCCTCAAGACAATGTTAAAGACTCTGATAATTTCAGATCAATGCAATTGCAAGATGATAAACAATAATTTGATGATGATTGTTCCGAATCCAGAAGAATTCTTGATTTTTGATTTATTTTATTCATATAGAAATCAATTATTTTTTGCTTATGATTATTCTTTATGAATTCAGATACTCTCAAAAAAATTGAGATTCATAAATTTACGAGATGAAAACTAGTATTTTAGTATATTATAAACTTAGCAATAATAATTTACTTACAATTTGGATTAATGAATCAATATAAATATTAGTATAATTAAAGTCGTCATACAGAAGAAAATTTTTCGATATTTTGATCTTTTAAATAGCCATGAATCAATAGTTATTTTGCTGTCCTTATTTTTACTAGATTTTGATGATTTTGGTTGTTCTGTGTCGGATGTTTGTGATTGAGTTTGATTAGAAAATGTTGATTCATTTTGATTTATATCAGCAGGTATTGATTCATTTTGAATTGTTTCAACAGATGTTGATTCATTTTGAATTGTTTCAGCAGATGTTGATTCATTTTGATTTATATCAACAGATGTTGATTCATTTTGATTTATATCAGCAGGTGTTGATTCATTTTGATTTATATCAGCAGGTGTTGATTCATTTTGATTTATATCAACAGATGTTGATTCATTTTGATTTATATCAACAGATGTTGATTCATTTTGAATTGTTTCAGCAGGTGTTGATTCATTTTGATTTATATCAACAGATGTTGATTCATTTTGAATTGTTTCAGCAGGTGTTGATTCATTTTGATTTATATCAACATATGCTGATTCGTTTTGATTAGCGTCAGATTTAGTAGATTCCTGTGCTTTATAATTGCTTGAAAAAATTGGGTCAATCTTCTTTATGGTTTCTATTTCTTCAAGAGAATCGCAATTCGAAAGATACGATTTAACTAAATTTTTATGTTTTTCTTTAATTCTAACTAATTTTTTGTCGATAATGTATTTTATTATTTTGTATCTTTGATGAGAAATTGCAATTGTAAGAAAATCATCTTCAGCATTTGGATCAAAATTGTGACAATATATAAGTAAATTCTGGAAAATCTCAAGATGTCCAAGCCTTACGGATCTAAAAATAGGAAGGTCATTATTTGATGAATGTAGAGATGGGTCTGCATCATTTTGAATTAAATAATGGATTATTTCCCAATTACCAGAAGAAACAGCTAGAAGTATACAATTTTGATTTTCTTTGTCTAAGTCTGAAAGTGAAAAGCCTTGAGATACTAGATGCTTAATCATTTCAAAGTTTCCGCTTTCACAAGCTGTTAAAACGGCATTTCTCCCTGTGATTTCGTTAGATATTTTAGCATCTAAGCCATTTTTAATGAGAAAATCGAATATCTTTGTGCTGCCACTGATTGATGTGCAAAGAACTGCATTGTCTTTATTTTTGTTAATTGCTGTTTTGTTGCATTTGTTGTTGATAAGAGATTCGACAAGATTGTAATTGTTCTTCAAACATGCAGAGAGAAGGATTGTGTTTTGTTGATCATCAACGATTTCTGATAATCCGATTGTACATGCAACTTTTATTGTCGATTCATCTTTCACATCTGCTCTCTGCGAAAGGAAATTATAAATATCATCAAATTTGTTTTGAATTTGGAAGATATCTAAGAATCTATTGATCAACTCATCATTTGTTTGATTTGAATGAATTTTGTCACAAATAATAGACAAAAATGATTCATATTGTTCATATCTTGCTTTGACTATTTTCGGATTCCTTCCATCAAGTTCGTTGATCTTTTTCTGCATTTCTAAAACATAATTCTGATACTTCTTGTAGGATTCATTCGAAGTAAGATCCAATAACGTATTCATTACTGAGGATCGAATCATTTCAGCATCAAATTTATTGATATAATAAGCAAAATAACTGCAATCTTTGATCAACGCAATCAAGAAGTCATATACTTTATCAACTTTGTTTTCATCTTGAAAATATCCGAGTTCTTCACATTTTGAAATGATTTTATCGATGAAATCTTGATTGCTTAATATGTTTTCGGAACCAATACGACATAAATCAATAAGTTTTGATGGTTCTATTTCCGAAATATTTTTCGCTATGAATATGATAATGTCATCTAGTTTTTCATTGTAATTCTTTCGCGATTTTCTTATAAATGAAAGGACTTCTTCTATATTTTTTAAGTTTATTTCATCTCTGAAAATAAGAGTACTATACCAATCGAAAAAGTCTTCAATCTCGAGATCTATGCCTATTTGATATATTTCTTTCAGAATATCTTCAGAAATTTCGATAGAAACTTTGTTTTTTATAAAAAGTTGATAAAAGATTTTAAATGTTTCATCACTGACTCCTTTTAGTTTATATTCTTCAATGTTTTCTCCTTGCATGTAGTCATTCATAACTTTCCTGCTATATGAACACAATGTTTTAAAAGGAACTTCCATTTGATGATTTCCATCGCTGATTTTGATCTTTTTATCATCCACAATACTATTAAATTGAAATTGCTTAAATGCTCTTCTGGCAACAAATTCGGGCATCTATTAAAAATCCAAAATAAATTGAATACTTATCAATTCAAAATTTTTAGAGATTCTTTATTTTTAATAGATTTATAATCCCGAAACAATTTTAAGCGATTCATATTCCAATATATTCAAAATATTTTTCTGAGAAAAGTTCAGAAAAGTTTGTATTATATTTATAATTGCATCGCTAATAATGCAAAATATATTTATTAAATAAGCAATTATTCTTTAAAATATAATTACTGAAATTACGATTATTTTTTATTCAAATACGAAATTGTATTGGATGAAAAATTTTGCGTAATTTATAGTTTTCTAATTAATTATTTGCGTATAATGTACATTTATTAATAAAATTTGTACTCTTAGGCCTTATTTAAGCTGATTTTTTTACTAATGTCAAAAGAAATTCATTTTGATTAGTGTCAGATTCTTGAAAGATTTGGGTCTATTTTTCCTTTGAAATTCTATTATTTCAAGAGAATTGAGATTCGAAAGATATGATTTAGCTAAATATTTATGTTATTCGTTAATTCTAAATGATTTTTTGTCTAGAATATATTATCATTATATTGGATCTTTGATGGGAAATCGCTATTGTAAGGAAACCATCAATTGTAAATGGAAATTTTAGAAAACCTCAAGATGTCTAAGCATCTCTTTGATAAGTAAAATTCTTTGAATTTTGATATATTAATTGGATAAATCATTAGTTAAGTTAATTTTATTTCTATTTCTTTATGAAATAATAATAAATATACTCATTAGGATGTTAAGATCAAATAAATATCTATAACAATAGGCTGGACATGTGTGTATTTCAATTGAATAATATGAAATAGTGTAACTTTTGAGTATATCCGAAATTGCAGCAGGAAGGGAAATTCCCAATGGGAAAATAAAATTTCGTAAATTATTTGAGTTAGTAAAAGCATATTGATTAATATAAGTGATTTCATTTTGAAATATTAGCGAATTTATATAAGATTGGTATGAGAAAGATTGGTCTCTAATGATTTTAACATTTTTTGGTAAATAAAATACTTTTGCAGTTCGAGCTGATGGATAATGAACTATTTCCTCGAAATTTTTTGTGTATAATACACCATCTAACGAAGTAAAATATGGATTCTGTTCATCAACAAATATATTTTCGAGCGATCTCAATGCATTGAAAGGATCCAATTCATTGATAATTTTGACGGACTTAGGTAAGAAAATTTCTTTAATAGGAGCATTGATGATTGGGTCATCTTGTATTTCAACAATTGTGTCAGAAAGAGTAACATTTGTTATAAAAGAAGAATCAATACACTGTGTTGATAAAATTCTACAACTACTGTCAATAATAATTGTTGTATACTGACTTTCAATAGCTTGTTTCTCAAGAATTCCGTCAGTACATGATAATGTTTTTACATTTATTGTAGAACTAAATGAATTTTGGAATCAATAAAAAATTTATATTTTGTCACTTTTTAAAATAAGATCTGACATTTGCTCTATTTGAAAATGAACAAATAGCATATATAGTTGTTGGATCAGGAGAATTAAGAATGTTTAATAAGCGCCAAGATGTTGTTTGATTTAAAGAATAAAAAACGAGGAATTCGAATATTTCTTCAAAGATTACAAAAAAATTGAAGATAAATTAACACTTTTCCAAACATTCTTCATTCTTTCGTTCTTTGCAAAACCTCACAGATACGGTGTCTATAGAAGTTTGAACTGAGTCAAGTCATTTTCTTTCACAATCACTTCACCGATCACTTATAAATACTTCAAATTTATATGAAGTTCATGAGAGAGTATTGAAGTATTTGCCATATAAGAAAGTTCCTCAAGACAATGTTAAAGACTCTGATAATTTCAGATCAATGCAATTGCAAGATGATAAACAATAATTTGATGATGATTGTTCCGAATCCAGAAGAATTCTTGATTTTTGATTTATTTTATTCATATAGAAATCAATTATTTTTTGCTTATGATTATTCTTTATGAATTCAGATACTCTCAAAAAAATTGAGATTCATAAATTTACGAGATGAAAACTAGTATTTTAGTATATTATAAACTTAGCAATAATAATTTACTTACAATTTGGATTAATGAATCAATATAAATATTAGTATAATTAAAGTCGTCATACAGAAGAAAATTTTTCGATATTTTGATCTTTTAAATAGCCATGAATCAATAGTTATTTTGCTGTCCTTATTTTTACTAGATTTTGATGATTTTGGTTGTTCTGTGTCGGATGTTTGTGATTGAGTTTGATTAGAAAATGTTGATTCATTTTGATTTATATCAGCAGGTATTGATTCATTTTGAATTGTTTCAACAGATGTTGATTCATTTTGAATTGTTTCAGCAGATGTTGATTCATTTTGATTTATATCAACAGATGTTGATTCATTTTGATTTATATCAGCAGGTGTTGATTCATTTTGATTTATATCAGCAGGTGTTGATTCATTTTGATTTATATCAACAGATGTTGATTCATTTTGATTTATATCAACAGATGTTGATTCATTTTGAATTGTTTCAGCAGGTGTTGATTCATTTTGATTTATATCAACAGATGTTGATTCATTTTGAATTGTTTCAGCAGGTGTTGATTCATTTTGATTTATATCAACATATGCTGATTCGTTTTGATTAGCGTCAGATTTAGTAGATTCCTGTGCTTTATAATTGCTTGAAAAAATTGGGTCAATCTTCTTTATGGTTTCTATTTCTTCAAGAGAATCGCAATTCGAAAGATACGATTTAACTAAATTTTTATGTTTTTCTTTAATTCTAACTAATTTTTTGTCGATAATGTATTTTATTATTTTGTATCTTTGATGAGAAATTGCAATTGTAAGAAAATCATCTTCAGCATTTGGATCAAAATTGTGACAATATATAAGTAAATTCTGGAAAATCTCAAGATGTCCAAGCCTTACGGATCTAAAAATAGGAAGGTCATTATTTGATGAATGTAGAGATGGGTCTGCATCATTTTGAATTAAATAATGGATTATTTCCCAATTACCAGAAGAAACAGCTAGAAGTATACAATTTTGATTTTCTTTGTCTAAGTCTGAAAGTGAAAAGCCTTGAGATACTAGATGCTTAATCATTTCAAAGTTTCCGCTTTCACAAGCTGTTAAAACGGCATTTCTCCCTGTGATTTCGTTAGATATTTTAGCATCTAAGCCATTTTTAATGAGAAAATCGAATATCTTTGTGCTGCCACTGATTGATGTGCAAAGAACTGCATTGTCTTTATTTTTGTTAATTGCTGTTTTGTTGCATTTGTTGTTGATAAGAGATTCGACAAGATTGTAATTGTTCTTCAAACATGCAGAGAGAAGGATTGTGTTTTGTTGATCATCAACGATTTCTGATAATCCGATTGTACATGCAACTTTTATTGTCGATTCATCTTTCACATCTGCTCTCTGCGAAAGGAAATTATAAATATCATCAAATTTGTTTTGAATTTGGAAGATATCTAAGAATCTATTGATCAACTCATCATTTGTTTGATTTGAATGAATTTTGTCACAAATAATAGACAAAAATGATTCATATTGTTCATATCTTGCTTTGACTATTTTCGGATTCCTTCCATCAAGTTCGTTGATCTTTTTCTGCATTTCTAAAACATAATTCTGATACTTCTTGTAGGATTCATTCGAAGTAAGATCCAATAACGTATTCATTACTGAGGATCGAATCATTTCAGCATCAAATTTATTGATATAATAAGCAAAATAACTGCAATCTTTGATCAACGCAATCAAGAAGTCATATACTTTATCAACTTTGTTTTCATCTTGAAAATATCCGAGTTCTTCACATTTTGAAATGATTTTATCGATGAAATCTTGATTGCTTAATATGTTTTCGGAACCAATACGACATAAATCAATAAGTTTTGATGGTTCTATTTCCGAAATATTTTTCGCTATGAATATGATAATGTCATCTAGTTTTTCATTGTAATTCTTTCGCGATTTTCTTATAAATGAAAGGACTTCTTCTATATTTTTTAAGTTTATTTCATCTCTGAAAATAAGAGTACTATACCAATCGAAAAAGTCTTCAATCTCGAGATCTATGCCTATTTGATATATTTCTTTCAGAATATCTTCAGAAATTTCGATAGAAACTTTGTTTTTTATAAAAAGTTGATAAAAGATTTTAAATGTTTCATCACTGACTCCTTTTAGTTTATATTCTTCAATGTTTTCTCCTTGCATGTAGTCATTCATAACTTTCCTGCTATATGAACACAATGTTTTAAAAGGAACTTCCATTTGATGATTTCCATCGCTGATTTTGATCTTTTTATCATCCACAATACTATTAAATTGAAATTGCTTAAATGCTCTTCTGGCAACAAATTCGGGCATCTATAAAAATCCAAAATAAATGAATACTTATCAATTCAAAATTTTTAGAGATTCTTTATTTTTAATAGATTTATAATCCCGAAACAATTTTAAGCGATTCATATTCCAATATATTCAAAATATTTTCGAGAAAAGTTCAGAAAAGTTGTATTATATTTATAATTGCATCGCTAATAATGCAAAAATATATTTATTAATAAGCAATTATTCTTTAAAATATAATTACTGAAATTACGATTATTTTTATTCAAATACGAAATGTATTGGATGAAAAATTTTGCGTAATTTATAGTTTTCTAATTAATTATTTGCGTATAATGTACATTTATTAATAAAATTTGTACTCTTAGGCCTTATTTAAGCTGATTTTTTACTAATGTCAAAAGAAATTCATTTTGATTAGTGTCAGATTCTTGAAAATTTGGTCTATTTTTCCTTTGAAATTCTATTATTTCAAGAGAATTGAGATTCGAAAGATATGATTTAGCTAAATATTTATGTTATTCGTTAATTCTAAATGATTTTTTGTCTAGAATATATTATCATTATATTGGATCTTTGATGGGAAATCGCTATTGTAAGGAAACCATCAATTGTAAATGGAAATTTTAGAAAACCTCAAATGTCTAAGCATCTCTTTGATAAGTAAAATTCTTTGAATTGATATATTAATTGGATAAATCATTAGTTAAGTTAATTTATTTCTATTTCTTTATGAAATAATAATAAATATACTCATTAGGATGTTAAGATCAAATAAATATCTATAACAATAGGCTGACATGTGTGTATTTCAATTGAATAATATGAAATAGTGTAACTTTTGAGTATATCCGAAATTGCAGCAGGAAGGGAAATTCCCAATGGGAAAATAAAATTTCGTAAATTATTTGAGTTAGTAAAAGCATATTGATTAATATAAGTGATTTCATTTTGAAATATTAGCGAATTTATATAAGATTGGTATGAGAAAGATTGGTCTCTAATGATTTTAACATTTTTGGTAAATAAAATACTTTTGCAGTTCGAGCTGATGGATAATGAACTATTTCCTCGAAATTTTTTGTGTATAATACACCATCTAACGAAGTAAAATATGGATTCTGTTCATCAACAAATATATTTTCGAGCGATCTCAATGCATTGAAAGGATCCAATTCATTGATAATTTTGACGGACTTAGGTAAGAAAATTTCTTTAATAGGAGCATTGATGATTGGGTCATCTTGTATTTCAACAATTGTGTCAGAAAGAGTAACATTTGTTATAAAAGAAGAATCAATACACTGTGTTGATAAAATTCTACAACTACTGTCAATAATAATTGTTGTATACTGACTTTCAATAGCTTGTTTCTCAAGAATTCCGTCAGTACATGATAATGTTTTTACATTTATTGTAGAACTAAATGAATTTTGGAATCAATAAAAATTTATATTTTGTCACTTTTTAAAATAAGATCTGACATTTGCTCTATTTGAAAATGAACAAATAGCATATATAGTTGTTGGATCAGGAGAATTAAGAATGTTTAATAAGCGCCAAGATGTTGTTTGATTTAAAGAATAAAAAACGAGGAATTCGAATATTTCTTCAAAGATTACAAAAAAATTGAAGATAAATTAACACTTTTCCAAACATTCTTCATTCTTTCGTTCTTTGCAAAACCTCACAGATACGGTGTCTATAGAAGTTTGAACTGAGTCAAGTCATTTTCTTTCACAATCACTTCACCGATCACTTATAAATACTTCAAATTTATATGAAGTTCATGAGAGAGTATTGAAGTATTTGCCATATAAGAAAGTTCCTCAAGACAATGTTAAAGACTCTGATAATTTCAGATCAATGCAATTGCAAGATGATAAACAATAATTTGATGATGATTGTTCCGAATCCAGAAGAATTCTTGATTTTTGATTTATTTTATTCATATAGAAATCAATTATTTTTTGCTTATGATTATTCTTTATGAATTCAGATACTCTCAAAAAAATTGAGATTCATAAATTTACGAGATGAAAACTAGTATTTTAGTATATTATTAAACTTAGCAATAATAATTTACTTACAATTTGGATTAATGAATCAATATAAATATTAGTATAATTAAAGTCGTCATACAGAAGAAAATTTTTCGATATTTTGATCTTTTAAATAGCCATGAATCAATAGTTATTTTGCTGTCCTTATTTTTACTAGATTTTGATGATTTTGGTTGTTCTGTGTCGGATGTTTGTGATTGAGTTTGATTAGAAAATGTTGATTCATTTTGATTTATATCAGCAGGTATTGATTCATTTTGAATTGTTTCAACAGATGTTGATTCATTTTGAATTGTTCAGCAGATGTTGATTCATTTTGATTTATATCAACAGGTTGATTCATTTTGATTTATATCAACAGATGTTGATTCATTTTGATTTATATCAGCAGGTGTTGATTCATTTTGATTTATATCAGCAGGTGTTGATTCATTTTGATTATCAACAGATGTTGATTCATTTTGATTTATATCAACAGATGTTGATTCATTTTGAATTGTTTCAGCAGTGTTGATTCATTTTGATTTATATCAACAGATGTTGATTCATTTTGAATTGTTTCAGCAGGTGTTGATTCATTTTGATTTATATCAACATATGCTGATTCGTTTTGATTAGCGTCAGATTTAGTAGATTCCTGTGCTTTATAATTGCTTGAAAAAATTGGGTCAATCTTCTTTATGGTTTCTATTTCTTCAAGAGAATCGCAATTCGAAAGATACGATTTAACTAAATTTTTATGTTTTTCTTTAATTCTAACTAATTTTTTCGATAATGTATTTTTATTTTGTATCTTTGATGAGAAATTGCAATTGTAAGAAAATCATCTTCAGCATTTGGATCAAAATTGTGACAATATATAAGTAAATTCTGGAAAATCTCAAGATGTCCAAGCCTTACGGATCTAAAAATAGGAAGGTCATTATTTGATGAATGTAGAGATGGGTCTGCATCATTTTGAATTAAATAATGGATTATTTCCCAATTACCAGAAGAAACAGCTAGAAGTATACAATTTTGATTTTCTTTGTCTAAGTCTGAAAGTGAAAAGCCTTGAGATACTAGATGCTTAATCATTTCAAAGTTTCCGCTTTCACAAGCTGTTAAAACGGCATTTCTCCCTGTGATTTCGTTAGATATTTTAGCATCTAAGCCATTTTTAATGAGAAAATCGAATATCTTTGTGCTGCCACTGATTGATGTGCAAAGAACTGCATTGTCTTTATTTTTGTTAATTGCTGTTTTGTTGCATTTGTTGTTGATAAGAGATTCGACAAGATTGTAATTGTTCTTCAAACATGCAGAGAGAAGGATTGTGTTTTGTTGATCATCAACGATTTCTGATAATCCGATTGTACATGCAACTTTTATTGTCGATTCATCTTTCACATCTGCTCTCTGCGAAAGGAAATTATAAATATCATCAAATTTGTTTTGAATTTGGAAGATATCTAAGAATCTATTGATCAACTCATCATTTGTTTGATTTGAATGAATTTTGTCACAAATAATAGACAAAAATGATTCATATTGTTCATATCTTGC